TAACATTTGAAAATCTATAAAATAAAATCGATAACTAAATCAATATCAACCTAACTCATAACTCTATTATAACTTCAAACTTCTCGAAACACTTATTCAATCCCAACTTAATACTTAAACTCCAAAATTAGCACATTTTTGCAAAATTTCCAGAATTATTCTAACTCACCCAAATGATACTTTTACCTTTAAAAATTAACACCCAAATCTCACTATTATCAAGGCTTTTCGAATTCCAACCTAAAAATTCTAAAATTTTACAATTTAACTCTAATCAACTTTCCAAATTAAATTTCCAGCATTTCAGGTACCTTAATATTTACTTAAATTTCATTTCCTTCACCAAAGAAATGCTAGATATCACAAAACTATAAAATAAAGATGGAAATGACTAAGTCGTGGCATAAGCAGAAAAAGATAATAAACAGTTAATTTGGTACGGTTTTTTTTCTCTTCTTCTTTTTTTAATTGCAAAAGCTAAAAGATTACAAATTGTAATCAGCCCTTTCAACGCATGAGTGCAACAGAAATGAAAACCAACCTTTTGCTCAACGAATCTTAATTGATTCCACTAATTCCAGCCTTGTTTCATTAAAACCGAATTCTTGTCCTTTTTTTTCTTGATTCCAATAAATTTCCATATTATAATAATCAAAATAACTCATATTCCATATTTCTTCAAAGCCCTTATAATACCTGAAATTTTTAAACAAGTCCTCCTAACTGTTTCCAAATCAATTTTCATGCTTAATTATTCATCCACAACATTCCTAAGATCCAAACTCAACCTTAATTCAATCAAAATCAACTTCCCCTTCATCCACCATAAATACCCATTTTCACATTTAAGCATGAAACCAAGAAATAATTATACTATCTTGTAGAGAAAATAGGATAGAATAATTTCCTATTTCACATCCTAGTCCTAAATCTTAATAAAATGGACCCAAAATGAAAAAAATAAATAAAAACCACTTGCCTATTATGGAGTTCGACTTAGCTGAAGAATAAGGAAGAAGATAAGATTTCGTGAATGTTCCTTGTTAAAAAAAATCTCCCACTTTCATCTTTAAAATACAGTTAAAAATGAATTTTTATTTATTTTGGGCCAAAAAATCAAAATTACCCTTAATGACTCCAATTATTTACTTCAATGCCACTCCCTAATTTCCATTTTAATATTCTTAAATAACCATAAAAATCTCATCTCTAAATTTTCATTTTTTTGATCTTTCAAATTTCAAAAATTTCATTTTAATCACTAAATTGTACTATTCAATTTATAGTGAAATTTTCACCAAATTCCACCAATCCAACTTAAATTTCACTAATTAAATATTCATATAATTTTTCTAACTCAAAATTACCTTCCTCAAATTTTCATAAAATTACGATTCGATCCGATTATCCGATTTCAATACCGAACTTTATCGTTTTATAGCTTTTAACACAAATCACATACCGAAAATATGATTCCGACGAAAATCCTTGTTTTATAGCAACTTATTCATTTTCGGGCTAAACTATTTTTTTCAAAATTGTACTTTAATCACAAAACTTTCAAAAATTACATTTTAGTCACTAGACAAATTTTGGGTATTACAGTTCTTACTGTTTGGAATTTGATTCAAAAATAAGGGAAAGGTCAGCGTTGGAACACCAGCAAACAGAGTCTCAAGAGTGGAATTCCACCCACAATGCATCCAAAATCCTCAAGTAGAAGAATGGCATAGCACTCTCAGCTAATCACACCAAGGAACTACTAGTCCCTGATCACCACATCTGTCTTTGAATTGTGAAGAATCCCCGCGTGGCACCCTCAAGTAGCGAACACCGCTATCTTCCACCCCAGCTACAATTTCATTCATTTGGGCTCCTGAAACTGATAGAAAACTTCCCATAGGCTGCAAATCCAGCCATTGATTTCTCTTCATTTTCCCATGAATCCTCTATATTCTTTTATAACTCTTCAATTTCTTCTCCTAATCTCAACACAAATATAAAAAATCTTTGATTTTTTCTTTAGATATTTCCTAATTTACTTTAAATCTTGAGGTGTTAGGTGAAAGTAATAGACCTATCTTCTCTATTTCATGATGCACTAAGTTACAATGATATAAATAAATATCTAACTTTAATCAAATATTGAGATAATCTTTAGGTGTCTGGACCGTCAACTACATTAATTTCCTCTGTTAAGTGACGGCTGTCGCAATATGGTATTTTAACAATTTTATTTAAAATTGAAAATTTTAAAATTATATTTTTTAAAGAAACACATAGAAAAACTTCTAAATAATCCAGAACTTTGAAAACTTTCATTTCAACCCCTAAACCCACATTGGTCATTGTCCTTTACCGTAAATGAAGCTTCATCCGACCTCACCTCTCATGGCGACCAAAACCTCTATGAAATCGTAACCGATCGACGGCTAATCGATGGCAAATCAACGTTTTATATCCCATAAACCCAGGAATGAAAATCGTGATTCCGATGGTTAATTGGTGGCAACTACAACGGCGTATGACTAGGAGGATGGCATGGACTATGTCGGCAACAGTGGTCATGGCCAGAAAGGGCGACGGCGAGGGTTAAGAGTAGGATTTGGGATTTTAGGGCTTTTGGGGCTTTTTTGTAATTTAAAAGGAATGGAGTTTTTTTTTATAAATATAATAATATTTAAAAAAAAAATAAAATTTAAAATTATCAGATTGTAACATATGTCGTTTAACAGAGTAAATTAACGTCGTTGACGGCTCGTGCATCTAAAGTGATACCGTTTGTAACATTAGCACTGTGATTATTCAAAAAATAGTTTAACACCTATTCGTGAAACCGCTATGGTTTATGCATTTATTTTATATTTAATACCTTTGATGATTCTAATGGAAAATGTTTGATAATTACAAGATGGGAAGGCATGGGGTTGAAAAGCAAGTCATCAATTTCATGTCTACGATAAATGCTATTGATAGTTTGGTACTTGAGCCGAGAGGCCAACAGCAAATAAAGTAAACACTATGTAACCTTTGACTATGAACAAGTTCAAGATTGAAATCTTCATCATTAGATGTAAGTGGCCTTAAAATGTGTGTTAATATTTGAGAATAAGGGAGTCTACCTCCTAATGACCACATCCTATTATTACTCGCGATAATGGATGAGGATAACATTGGGATACCTGAAAATGCAGTATATGGAAGTAATTGCTTTGTTAAGAATGCCTTGGAATGGATTGCTCATATGTCCATTTTTTAAGTTACTTTTGACTAGTTCCAGATTTGTGAATTCGAATTCAACCAACGGCTGACTCCATTTATTTCAGTACAGGTGTTTCATGTGTGACAATGCACTAGATAGCAAATAACTAACTGTTGAAAGGTTATAGCCTTCCAACATTTGGCGTAGTGGTTACATATGGATGTTGTTGATACAAGAGAGCTGTGAAACCAATATATTGAAGTGAGTAAACTCGTAAGTTGGTAGAGAAGCGCAAATTGATGTTACCTTAACAAACCATGATTTTGTTTGAAATAGGAATGCTGTTGAAATCGGAAAGACGATGCGTGCTAGTAATCTTGAACAGCGTCAGATACTGGGGAAAATATGACTCTTTTCGCTCAGGAATTAGAAAAACTACATTCAGAACTTGCTAATGCAGAAGAGAGCAAGCGAGGTTGCTGCAGCAACAACAAACCCAAGTACTGATCTGCTCATCTTGTTCTCTGCCGTGTGTAATCTTGATTTAGATAAATTCTGCGACCTTTTAACATTTTCTTTTATTTAGAACCCACATGGCCACGTACAATGGGAACTATGGATTTATTCCATGCCTCAGGTATGTCTGTTTTTGTGGATATTAAGCATTTTCTGATTTCACTTAAAATCTGCAATCCAATATAAAGTGGGAGATGGTACAATAATGAATAAACACCATGAAATTTGGGAGTAACCTTTCATTGATTGACTTGTACTCTAATTATCCGTGCACCTCCCATGCTCACATCGCTGTTTAACAGCCGGTGACATAGAAAATGTCTTATACTTCATTTCAGGCGGTGTAGCATCTACGCAATTTGTGTTTGGAGGTGAAGCTGGAACAATGACGCCGCCTGTTACTGTAGAGAGCCAAGGGGGTGTCATACATATGATATGAATGGCTCACCATCTGTGTCTAGGACAATTACAAATGTTCCTTTTGAAAACGAAATATTCCAGCTACAGCCATTTTTAACTTGTACATAAAATTCAACTTTTGATTTTAGAATCACATGGGTAATTTTTGAATATTTGTATTCTGCAGAAGTCATCTTAAATCTTTAATTGATGGAGGAAGCCTTAGTCATTCGCAGTGGTGCTGCCTAACCATGTACCAACACTCGCTGAAAACGCACAGGAACAAACAAGCATAGCCCGTCCCAACGTGAATAACATGAAGTAGACCATAGCTCTCAAAATTCAACACAAACTATCCAGCAGCCAGATTCTCATGCTTGAGGAAGGCAGCAGCAGGCACAACGCACATAACCATCACTGAATGCCATTTTCAACAACTTACCATCCTCCATAAATGAATTATTTAGTAAAACTACATGCTCAATTGCATTCAGCATATGAAAACTATTACTACTACTGTTTTAGTAGTTCACTATAATCCAAGCCCAAAACGAAAACCTATTCTCATACATTGAAGCATAGAGCCTAGGCATTGTGATCAGTATCCATACAAGGATCCAGATCTAAACATTAATGAATAAAAAGTTCCTGAATTGACTAATAAAAACTACTTTCGTTTCCTCAATAAAAATAATAAAACTACTTTCTACAACGGGAGGCAAAATCCCATCATCTTTAATGAAAACTATTTTCTTCCACCGCATTAAAGGATGCTCAGATGAGCAACAAAATCAAATCCCCCACCAAAAGATTATTCCCAAATAGAAGGGTATGTGTGATTTGAAAGAGCAACTGAAATTACCATTCTACCTTAGCAGGAAGCATTTGAAGTTATTCCACTTGCTTCTATAAAAAGATTCACACAAATCCAATCAATCCAGCGCGTAATATAAAAATCCCCCAGCGAAAAGTAGACAAAGGAGGAAGGAGAAAAGGGGGAGTATTGCCCAAACAAGTGGACAACCTACCTCTCAGTCTCCTGCTCAAGAACAACCCTGTGAATGGGACACAACTACAACTCTTAGATCATAATTCTTGGTACATAAAATATCGAAGCTTAAAGCCTCTCAGTATGGACGCGAACGGTTTCCACCATAGTGATGTCTATCTGGCCCAGAACCTCCATCTCTGTAATTATCCCTGGGCCTGTCCCTGCCACCACCATAGCCACCTCTACCACCTCTGTCAAACACCACCATTCGATAATGAAGCCTCAATAAAAACAATTAATTTAAGCCAAGAACATAAAAACATGCTTTTAGGGAAGCTTTCTATTGTTTACTCCACAGTGACAAACTTAAAGGACAACCTAATACTAACATGGGCAAACCGCACATAAATTTAAAAAAGAAGAAGCTGTAAGCAGTAATTAGAGGCGATCATTTTACATTTGGTTTCCAAAGTAAATTAAAGTAAGCAAACCCTTAAACTAGGAATCAAAAGTGGCAACAAACAATACAGCAGAAAGAGAAAAATGCTATCAGACATTGTAGATTCAACTTCATTTCGAAAATATTAAAGATATACATGAACTAAAGACAAAAGAACAAGGGTTAAAATGATACCCATGATCATGTACTTTAGGCGCAGTCTTCTCAGCCATTGCCACATTGATTGTATAGCCTCTCAAGACATGATCTGAGAGAGAAGATTCCACAAGTGTTAGGACAAACATTCAAGGCAACGAACTAAATGATGAAAAGTTTAGTTGCATACTGTTAAAGAAACCACCAGCAGAGTGTGCAGCTTTAGGATCTTCATATGTCAAAACTGCATCACCTTTTGGGTTTCCTTTCTCATCTGTGTATATTTTAATATTCCATGGCCACTGATCTTTATAGCCACGCTTCTGCTTAATTCTTCCAACCTAAACAAGTGACTCCATCAAAACAAGGAACCAGAGAATAAAACAAATATCAAAAGAACAATTAAATTAAACAAACATGATAACAGCTCCGGAAAAAATAAAGACACCAGTATGCAACAGATGACATAATACCCATCAGACAGCACATTGATTTAAATTATAAGATATGACCATTACTTGTCCAATGCCGCCAAAAATGTCTCTCAATTCATCAATAGTAACATCAGGTGGCAAATTTGATATGTAGATTCTTGTGTTGTCACAAGAATCCCCACAGTAGTCATCACATTGCTTGATCTTAACTGGTGCATCGGTAGGACCACCATAACCACCTCCCTGACGTTGAGGACCACCAGGATATCCACCCCAACCACCAGTTCTTGTATCACTCAAATCCTCACCAGCATAACCACCTGCAGGACCTCCATAAGATGGAGGATAAGATGTGGTTCCACCAGTATAGCTTGTAGGTGGAGGAACCGGTTCCATTCCATAATTTGTATTCCCATCATATGCATTAGGAGGAGGTGGATAACTTCCACCAGCACTACCACTATAAGAACTGGACGCCGGAGTAGGAACAAGGCCATACCCACCATCTTCACTCCCTTGACTACCTCCATAAGAACCAATTCTAGCACCACCACTTCTATTATCATAATTTCCACCTCTGCCTCCGTAGTTATTACTCCTCCCACTATCATATCCACCTCTCGTCTCATCTCCTCTACCTCCACGATTACCACCATATCCTCCACTGCCACTTCCTCTGTTATACCCACTGCCACCACGATCACCAGAACCAACAGGAGAGGATGCACCGCATTTGTTACACTCAACCCTTCTTGCAAAGTTCAAGTTTCCACAGCTACATAGACATACCGTTTTAAATTTCACAAAACCAGGCAACTTAACCGTAACATTAAAACATCAGCAAAACAAAACTTAGCTAAGACTAACTGTACCGACTACAGATACATACATAGAGAGAAAAAAAAGTATCCCCAAACAAAAAAAACAATGGCAGCGAAAAGATAAAATTACCTGGGGTTCGGGCAAATCCAATCACCATCTCTGCGTCCTCCACCACGGCCACCACCTCTTCCACCGCCACCCCTTCCACCACGGTCTCCTCCTTGATAGTCTCCACCGGCACCTGCATAATCCATCCCGAATTTATCGAAAATAAGAACAAAGATAAAAGCCGGATCCATAACCGTATAACCCAACGAGACAACTATGATAAACTAACGGTCAACAGCACTAACCTACAAATAAAAAATAAGTAAATTAATAAAGCACAATGAAATATACCGCGGTTTTGAGAACTGCGACCGTATCCTCCCCCTCCCCCTCGGCCGCCACCACGGCCACTGTAACCTCCACCACCACCATAGCCAGGGTCCCCTCCATTAGGAAAACCCGAACTGGGAAAAATCGAAAATCGAATTAAACGGGTCAGGTTTAGAGATGATAAACGGAGACGGAAAACCCATTTATTTTAAACGGGGAGGGGTTTGGTAATCCCGTCCCGATTACCTGTCTCGATACCCGATCCGATAAATATTAAAAATAATTATTTATATATATATATAATATTAATAAATTTAATTTAAATAAAATATATATATTTAATTTAAATATATATATATACCTGGCCCGATTCCCGGCCCAATACCGATCCAATACCCAACCTAATACCCGACCTAATACCCGTTTAAATAACCATTTGTGCTAAACGGGATACTCATTTTCCCGCGGTTTTCCCCGATTACCCGACAGGGATTCCCGTTTAAATCTTCGCGATTTTTTAAACGAGGACGGATATCGGTTTTTTAAACGGGGACGGTGACGGGGACCAATACCCGGCCCGTTGCCATCCCTACCCTCCATAACCGCCATATCCACCACCATATGAAGGATGAGTAGCTTCGCCTCCGTCTTGACCGTAATCCTTCACAGATGTATCTAGGGCTTTTTGGAATTATTGATCTTATCACACAGAGGTGCAACAGAAAATTACGTGGTAGTATGATGTGAAATATGAAGGCCATCAATTCGCTTGTTTCTTGTAGCGCGTGACTTACTGCAATGTTTTCGAATTCTCTGATTGATTGGTTTGAAGCCCAATTCATTCCATCAACCGCCATTGCTTTTGGGCCTTCGAAATCAGAAAAGGGTTAGTGCACGAGGAAATGACCCGCTATAAACTAATTAATTCATATTGGATACTGTAGAGACAATGATGATTTTCTCAATTCAGTTTACTCAATTTACAAATGTCAAGATTTGAACATTTGACTTTTTTTAAAAAAAAAATTAAACACTTGAACTTGTTTAAGGAATATAATACTTATTTCACTAAACCAACTGATTATTAGTAATAAATTATAATATATTTAATCCATCTATTTATAGACTATTTGTTGTTAATTGCATACTAAAATCATTACGTGATAATTAATATAAAATGAGAGATGAATCAAATGTCCAGAAGATAATAAACGTTAATGTTGAAGCATTGGTGATGTATTTGAAGATACTCTCTCCATAACTCAAAGGATGTGATAACATTTGATTGGGATATAAATCATACGAGGAAAAGTAGTGATGGGAAGGTAAAGAGCACATTACAGGGTGCACCGTTTTGTTAGAGAAATCTACGCCCCAGAGATTGTCGTCGGCTACCAAAACAACAGTTTTTCAAAGCACCAGCGCCCGGTACAGTATTGTCATACCCGCTCGCATTTTGTTTCCATTCATTTAAATTTCACCTTTTATGTTTTTCGAGTAAATACACAAATAGTACTATAACTATAGGGTGATTCCTTGTTGAGTCGTTCGACTATTAAAAGTTACAAAATAATTTTTTGACTATATGATGTTTTGTTGAGTCTCACGACTATTAAAAGTTGCGAAATAATCACTTGATTACTTAGTATATTCTAAACTCATCATTTCCAGTTAAAAAATTTTCTACACTGAAAAAAATAATAATAAGACTTGAAAATATTAAATATACTAGTTTAAGGACTTTGTTCGATAAAAAAATAATTTAAGTGCTTAAAACAAAAAAAACACATTATTTGATTATATATTTTTATTTTAAATTTAATATTTTCATAAATAATAAAAACGAGAAATGTAATAAAACTGTCAAACTTGCATTAAATATACTATCAAAATCATTTAAAACATTCACGAGACTAAGCGGAAAAGACAAAATAAACGAAGAATATGTACGCAAAGCAGCGGGGGGTCAAAAATCTTGAACATTAATTACTGATATTTGGTTTGAGAGGAAATACAAGTGGCCATCCAAACGCGTGCAGACAAATTTCTTTGGATCCTATGCGTCTATCATCCACGCAACGCCGTCACATCTACTCTGATTTATTTATTTTTTATACATTTAATATGTGCATAAATTGCATATGACTATCGTACTTGTTCTGTCTCATGATTGCACCAATAACTTTCATTTCAAACTGACCCCATTCCCAATGGCTCATCAAAGTTTTCTTCATAAATTTGAATATATTAACATTTCGAGAATCAAAGCACCTAGACCCTGCCATCTACTCCAATTTGTGGTAAAATAAATCGTCCCCGATATCACTGTATTAACTACCATGCTTTGATACAACGTGCGGTAATAGATTTAGCACCAAAATGTTATCAAATCTATACTGATATGTGTAGTTTACGTCGCTTTAACCTCGAACGTTGGCAGAAACGTTTCCTTAACAAATTTTCTTACATTTCCCATTTGAATTTTCGGCTACAAAGGTATATATATAAATTTTAGAGTGGTTAATTAAAAGTTCTCGATTTATGTTTTCTTCCTCCTTTAGGTAGTAGGTTCAACGTTCATAAGAGTAAAATTCTCTCTTATTTTTTCCTAGATAGAAATTATTCAAACAAATTCTTAAAATATGTATCTCATAATGTAAAGAGAAATTACTTTACAGTCAATAATAAATTATTGATAATCTATTTTTCGCCTTTCGTCAAGTAAAAATATATAAATTCATCTACTAACATAAAATTGTATATTTATTCTTGATTGCTACATATTAATCAAGTAGGATAAGTGATGAATTAATATACAATATAACTATAATATGAGATAAATTTTATTTGTTTTAGTCTAACTACTTCTAGCAGAGTAAGTAATTTTGACCAGTTGATCAAGCTGTTTAGTTGTATTCTCTTATATTTTCTTAGATCATAGGTTATATATCTACTAAGAGCATTATCCTTTCTTTCCTTAGAATACGTGTTCCCCTCTCTTATAGGTAGGATTAGGTTTAGATTTAGAATGTAAAAAGAAAAAACTGCTTGTAGAAACTACATATTAGTACTCCAATTGTCATTTTTATTTTGTTTTAGTCACTCAATTATTTTTTTTAAATCAGATTTAGCGTTTAACTTTGGTTTTATTTTGATCACCTACAATTAAAAAATTAACTTTGATGCTAGCATGTCACAATAAGATAATATCACATTATCACTAAAATAAATAAAAATGTCATGACAATAATTATGTTAATATTCCAATAATAAATTATTAAAAATAAATCAAAATATAATATTAAATATTATTTTGAAGAAAATAATTGAATAATAAAATAGAACAAAAATTATAATGGAACTAAACGTGAATTTTACCCGAATACCTATTATTGATTGGCACCTTATTGAAATCATCAAAGACGTTTAACTAGGCTTATTGATTAATACATATTCCAAGGTTGCTCCATGCTGCCGAACAAGTGGCCAGTAATGTTTATCCAGTGGCTGGCACATGTCGGATATCGCCATGCTTTTCCATGCCATTGCTTTCCCTTTAAAGCAAGCCAATGGCAACATATATGGAACTCGACAAAGTTGTGTAACTGGAAGACAAAGATTATCGGTGTCAAACCATGGCCTCTCTACTGGATCCCAATGCTACAGAGAAGACGATCTCAGTTTGATCACCAAAGAGATGAACTGAAGACCATCTCACTGCAAACTGCAAAGGGCAGAAAAGAGTTCGCAGGGCGCTTCTAAACTTCGGTCTGACAACCAAATCCTGAACATAGGATTTCCCAGTTCACGTAAAATATAAACGATGAAGGTTAGGGCATTACCCGCCACGTGTTAAGTAGTTGTCCCTTCAATTTAGTGCGTATAAAACAGGGCATGGTTCCTCCTTTGGACGCAAATTGTGAGCTATAAAATAAATAAAACTATATCTTGCTTTCAATCCATACCTCAATAATAGCACTTGCCGGTGGTGCTAGACAAGACTAGTCGAGGAAGTTGCCTCTACACTCTCTTCAAATTATACCGAGTACCGTCGGGGCAGTAGCCCCCTACGGGAGAAAAACTCTGAAAATCCCTCTAAGGATGATTTTTATTTATATGTGGTGACAAGTCTCGTCAACAAAAAGAAAGGCAAGCGAAGAAAAAGGAAAGAGGGAGCATATTTAGATGATTAGACAAAAGGGATCTATCGGCTTCCTTTCCTTTTTGACTTTATATGTGGAATCCATAAATTAAGTTAATACAACTAATTTTATTATAGTGAAAAAAATGGGATTTATTATATAAAAAATGAATAACAAAGAGCCAAAGTAATTTAATCAACGCCGGACTCATTTGAAAATAGAAGATATGATGAGGAGAAAATAAAAATTAATGAAGCAATGATGAAATAGGATAGGATGGAGTGTAGAAATGAACATAAAAAATGCGGTCACGTTGGAGTGTGATTGGTGGGTGTGTCTAGGTTATTATAGCTAAACAGAATTTTATACAAATTGTGAGTGATATCGGATATAATTATTGATGATAAGATAATATATTGTTATGCAATGCGATAAAATGGAGGAAAGAAAAGGGTTGGCCACAGGTCCTTTTCACACTGAGCATCAGCGGTGGTTTACTCAGATAAAATAATAAGGGCAGCAATCACTAGGATTATTTTAGATATTCAATTATGCTTTCAGCCATATATACTTTTGTTGTTGTAGTTTTCATGGGTATTGGGGGGGGGGGGAGAACGCAGGGAGTGTGAGCGGTCGAGCTTGAGACGATCGAATAAAAAAAACATGTATAAAAAAAAGAGATGTTGAGATCCATACAAAACTTTAATCCAAACAAAATCTTAGATCAAAGAAATAAAGGAGGGCACCTGACACTGAAACATAAAATTGCAAACGACTGCAAAGCTGTAAAAATTCAGTGAGGGGCACGTGTGCTTACGTTTCACATTTACAACAGCATTTACATTTGCCCTTTGAGCTGGGAGAACCATCAGCTGAACGAGAAACCTTGTAGTAGCGAAAGATATGGCCAACAAGTGAGTGTTTTAAGTGTTACCCGACGGCCTTCTTCTTCTAACCTACATACAAATCTTAACCCTACACATCTACACTAAAAAGCAAACAAGAAAAAGATACCCAATATGAATGATGATAAGTAGCAAAGTTTCCATGGTGACATGATGCGAATGTAAACTCATTTGCTTCTTGCTGAGGAAGAAGATAAGATAGACAGAAAGTTAGGGAGTTCCCCCCTCCCCAAGATTGCTTCCTATATTTTACCCATCAAAACAGCTCATACAAAAACATACAAAAAGGAAAAAGAAGCAATCGATTACACCTTCTATATCAAAAGTTCTTGTGCTTCATTTCACCTTTATATATATGCTTTTATAAATAGTTGCAGTAGCAGTAATGTTCATGCATAATTAGAGAAGATAAAGAAGTCTTATCAAACAGGAAAAAATTATGAGATCGGTTGAAAGAGATTAAAAACTATATTTTGAACTTTCACGGGATACCGATCCAATATTCATAGAGAACAGCCAGATATATCATATATTCCTCGTAATATATACATTGACACCAACAGCAGCGGTTGTGATTGTATTAGACCTTTTTCGCTTCTTCTTCTCGTAAGGAATCCCTCTAGCTTTAGCTTGCCCTTCTCTCACTTCCCTCAAATAAATCCTCACAGCCTTTGCGGCAAAAGGGTTTGATTCTGGACGTCCACCGTTTTCGTCATAAGCAGCTCTAAGCCGTCCGATCAGCGCGTCGAGGCTTCCCCAGGCTTGCTTGAGTGGGCAAGAGCAAGGAGCAGGTGGGTTTGGATGTCCGAAATAAGGACAACCTGTTATGTGAACCTTAGTTTTACCAAACTGGTCAAGGTATTTCAAGAACTCAATAACGTGGGCACCACTGCAACGAGCTAGTGTTAACGGGGGCTTATGGTTCTTCAAGTACTGCAAGAAAGTATTCCAGTCTCGACGCTTTTGTGACTCGTAGCGACTCGGTGGAGGTGGGGAAGAAGACGACTCACCAGCTCCACTTTGGTGTGAAGCCGTGGGCAGCGTCGATGAAGCTATAACTACACCGGATGATGGACCCTCGCTGATGCTATTCGGGTCCGTTGCAGCACCTCCTACAGAAGCAGGATTCATTAACAAAACAAAAATGAAAAACGCAGAGGGTTGGTGCTTTGGTTATCTTGGTAGGGTTTTTTCAAGTGCCGGTGAGTGAAGCAAGGCCGAAGGGAGAGTTCTGCCGGTCGATCACTTACAAATTAGAATCTCTTCGTAGAGATGGCTTCTGTTTGATAAGATAAGCAGTAACAGTGAATAGGGTTCATGGAAAGAACTGCTGGCTCAAATCTCCGCCCCCGGCCCGGGGATCTTTTCACGGGAAAGATTAGCTTGGTATTTTCTCTTTACTGGTGATCGTGAGAGTCGAGATAAATGATTTTGAATAAGGATAAGAAATAGAGACAGAGCAGGAAAACCAAAAACAAATGGATGATGGGACGGGCAAATATAATTCATTACAGGTTGTTTTACATTTGTAGAAATTGGTCTAAAAAAGGCAGAGAAATGCAACTTTATTGTATTGTACTGTGGATTAAGGATTGGATTTAAAAATGAAATGTTTAGCAGAATACAGGGTTTCACACAGAAATGGAATAATATGATAAATGTCTCACATGGTGGCTCTGCCCTCGATGGAATCACTGTTCCCGGGCGGCCCCGCCATTCCTTCTTGTTCACCTCAGCATCATTGATTCATCCTAATACCGGATTGAGATCCATTTTAGACGTAATACAGTCAGTCGATAAGCATAAAAATTAATTAATTAAAGTTGTAATATATCTGTAAACATCACCCAGACAATCAATAATTACTTGTCAATTTTTTTTTAAATATTACCCATTTAGCATAATTTCTAACAGAATGATAATAAAGTACGTTTTAAGATACGCGCCTTGCAGACGTAGACAGAAGGCGCAGATCATGAAACGCACCTTCTTAAAGTTCTATATGAGCTGAAGCCATATTGTAAAAGTGTAGATTATAATATGCACCTTCGCAGGAAATTTGACACATGGCAGAATGTGCAAATCATTAAATTACCACTTACCTCTTTTAATACCGCCTAACTGTCTATCCTCCCATTCCCTCTTATAAACACTCTCTCATATAACACTCAAATCACATCAAAATATTTTATTCTATTCCTTATCAATTTTTGTAACAAGTTTTAAGTAAGTTTTGTTATCATTTTTAGAAGTTATAATTTTTTTATTATATTATAACCATTTAATAGTTTATTATTTTATTATTATTTAAATTACTAATTTTCTTATTATTTTTTTCAGTTATAAAATAGAAGGCAGGCTGCTACATTTAGATGAGAATTATTTCTCGAGTCATTTTGCAGATACGATAACAATTTTAAATTGTGTTATTTTAATTATTGTGAATGTTTTATTTATTTATTTATTTATTTTAGTATTAGTTTATATTTTAATTTGTATATTATTTATTTATTAGGGGAATGACCGTATATTAGATCCATTTACTCGTAACGCTAAGTTAGAGATACCGAGTCGTGTCTGGCCATATTTAGCTGAGGCTCGATTCAATTACATAGTGAAATATGGAGGGCACTATAACCTTAAATCCAACCTTATTTTTACACTGATTGGGAGGTGGAGACCAGAGACACACACATTACATCTTCCGTGTGGGGAGTGCACTATTACGCTGGAGGATGTTTTCATACATTTGGGGCTTCTGGTAGATGAAGATGTTATTTTTTGTGTGGCGGATGATAATTGACATTCCTTGTGCGATGAGTATCTTGGAGGTATCCCTCTTAATTTCAACAGTGGTTGAATATTGTTATCATGGTTGACTACAAATTTTCAACATTTAAGTGAAGACTATTACGAGGAACATACTAAATTTTTTGCCCGGGCATGCATATTACAACTTATATGAGGGATCTTGATGCCCGATAAATCTCAAAACCAAGTTCATTGTATGTGATTGCGTCACCTCAAAGATTTTCACGTTACTGGCAGACTCAGTTGGGGCTCCACATTTTTGGTATATTTGTATAGAGAAATGTATCAGACAACTGATTATCGAAAAAATGCTATCGGTGGATGTCTCCTTTTTCTCCAATCATGGGCGTGGTATCACATGCCCTTTTATGCCAGTCGTGAATAACCCGTTAGGCTTCTCGTTATTGTTAAGGTAATTTCAATATTGAGTTCGTATATAAATATTTTTTTGAGTATATAATGAAATAATTTTTTTACATTGAATATGTGTCATGTACAACGAAAAATCTTCGTGATATACCAAATGAATAGGAATAAATTCAACTACTAATTGATTAGAATGCTGGTACAGAGGTATGTATTTAAATTTTATTATTTACCTTTAATTATCATTATATAATTAGAATATTATTTTGATAAGAATTATATATATTTGTTTTGTTTTGAATGGACTCTTTATTCTACTCAAGAAATGAGCCTTTGCATTCCACCTCACTTGAGTGGCTCATTAGATGTATGGATGGTTGTGGTCCCTCTAATGTGTTATGTTATTGTCAAGTGACATCCTATTGATCGCGTGCTATGCCAATTTGATTCAGACATTCCATTTCATGCAACAATCCTTTTTTGTAAATTTGTAATTAATCTTGGGTGATAAATATGACCGTTTTCCATCCAAGTTTGAGTTTATCCCCGAGCTTGGAAAAAAGCGCTCTCAAATAAAAATATGTCGTTTTAACCAAAAATGTTACTGTTAAATGGTGCGCCACCTTTAAGGTCGAATAATAGCCTCAACCAAGTTGGTTGTTATATGTCCATATCGATATCCACTATCGTATGCATTTGTCTACATTTCGTTGTTGATGAGGCTGATGTAATTGTATCATTGCTCGTTTTTTCCACACAAATCTTGAAGCATGGACTCAAACATTTGAGGTAATAGTTTGTATCCTACATGTCAAATGCAGTACTTACTATTAAGTTCCCATAAAAAATGAAAATGATTGAGAAATGAAACTAGTCATTGTAACATACTCATGCGCACAAGTAATTGGCGTTCATCATTCGTCTTAAATATTCCATGATAGTTCGCGGCAATATGTCGGATACAATATCGATGTTGAATGTGGGGCAGTTGCCACATTGGACTCAAAGAGTCCAATTTTGCTTTGATCCCAACTCCGCAGTTTGAAATGATGCAAAATTTTCCCTCGTGATAACATGTAAGCACAAATTTCTGAGGAAAAAAACCCCAAGAATGTGTATATTCACCTTCAAAAAGGGCAAAAGCAAATGAAATAATGTTACGATTATCGTCTTAGACAACTTCCAATAGTAAAACTTTCTTTTATTTTCCATACAGGAATGTCCCATCAATTTGGACCATGGGCTTATAGTATTTCACATCATTAATGCATTATGGGTAAGTAAAAAATCAGTGGAATTGGCATCGATCGCGAAATACTCGATCATTGTGGTATGTATGGCAGGTTTCGAAGTCGACTAATGTCACATGATTCAGTATGTGCATTACCCTAAACCAACTTGGTAGTTCGTTGTAAGATGAATCTCACTCGCCGTAAAGTTTTTTAATGGTATTATACTTTGCGTTCCATGCTTTCCTGTAGGAGACGATGTACTCATATTGAGACTATATAGCTAAAAGCAGCACCGCAATAGCTATATGGGAGCTTACTTTGACCATGAGCATAATGGCTGGCAGATAATGTTGGAGTCCAAGTTGGGATAGTCTTAGTTGATCCCCCTTGCACAACATATATGAGGATCATTTTATATTTTTAGTTCTTATATATTGTTTTTCCTCTTCCTCTTCGATACACGAGTCATCTAGTTGTATCCGTTGTCACGTTGGACATAGTGGCAAACATACTTTTCGGTGGTGGATCGTTCGACTCTGGAGTGAACAGAATTACGAATATTTTAATTCTTAATTGCAATCATCGCTTCATCTTTGGATAAAAGCTCCATTCTGATATAAATCAGTAGTCATCAATATTAGGCATATCCGTAAATTCTGACTCATAAATTGCATCATAGTCAGTTTTATACATGTGTGGTGGAGGTTCAGTGTGTACCGTATTCATGGGAACTTCATCTACATCATCATCATCATCGAAGTTCATATTGAATTGCGGTGATTATGGCTCAATAAATGGTCTATTTTCAGTATCATCTGCACCTGGCTCATGAAAAGGTTCTTCTTGTGGAGATGAGAGTCCCTCTGTGATGCCAATAGTTAGGTCGAACAAGTTGGTAGTTGAATGTCTTCCCCTTGAACTTGAAGGCATCATGTCATATTGGTTTTGAACTGAGTATTGTGTCACATACATCTCCACATTGAGCTCAAAACAGCTTGCAGTTAAATGTCTCCCTTGGAACTTAAAGGTATCGTGTCAAATATGTATTGGACAAATTGTTGTGTTGAGGGCATCTCCATATTAAGGTTAAAGAAATTGGTAGATGAATGCTTTGCCATTGAATTGGAAGCGATACAGCCATATGGATTGTTCGTGGAACGACCTCGGTAGATATCATAACAAATTGCTGATGAATGTCCCCGTTGAACTTTATGTGATGTATCATGATATGGATTTTCCATTAACAAGTTAAAATCATTACACATTACTTAAGTTGTGTTGTACACTTGTTGAGCCAACCCATAATGGGAGCATAATGACTTATCACGAACTACGGACACTTCAACAAATATGTCATACATTTTGTGTAACAACATCTAAAATTTGATTTTGAGCATCAACCATCATAACAACATCATCATCGTTGGAGAGTTCGAACGCTGTAGAAGTTAATGAAAATAGTGCAGTTAGAAATTTGTATTGAATTGAGAACAATCTTCTAGTGCTTTCAACATGAACATTCCTTGAAATTTTAGTAATCAGTTCCTCAAGAGTGATGTTTCTCTTGAAGGATAAGGTGACATAATAATTTGATGCGAAGATAACATCGATTTCATCTTCCCAAATTCTCCATCATAGTAAACAATAGCTAAAATACGTCTCATTTTGACAGTTTGAAAGATTGAAAGTCTTATATCTGGAAAACGAATAATTGTTTCTAATATACGATCATTTTCCTAATTAAATAAATAGTATACAAATTAAAATATAAACTAATACTAAAAAATTTAAAAAATATATTCACAATAATTTAAATAACCCAATTTAATATTGTTATCGTATCGGTAAAACATTTTGAGATATGATATCGCCTTTCATTTTACAATCGCAAAAAGTAATAAAAAATAATTAGTACAATACAACTTGATCAAATAAATTAAATATGAAATAAATATAATATAATAAAAAATAATTTTACCTACTAAAAACTGCAACAAAATATACTTAATAGAAGGAATTTATAGAATGAAGAAAATAAATGTAATTTCGGTGTGATTTGATATTTAGATTCGAAGGTATTTATAGGGGATGGATCATCTAGGA